AGCGTGCGAGCGCAAAGCCAACGAGTTGGACTCGTCCGACTCGGGCGGTTCGTTGGAACCCGCCACCAGGCGCCCGGGCCATTGTCCGGAGCAGCGTCCGCGCCTCTGCTCGCTCAAGGAACGGCCTGGGCCTCCACCTTCCTTCGCGGGGACTTTTTTGGGTTTCCCGTGGTGCGGTTTCCCCCGGGGCGGGTCTCTCCCCGGGGTGGGTCTTCCTGCTGTGATCCTTGGACGCTATCCGTGTTTTGAATCCTAGTTGGGGAATCCTTATGGGGAATCTTCTTCTGGATCCTGCTATAGGGAGTCCTGGGCAGAGACACTGTGGGGGATCGTGAGTTGCGGAATCCTTATGGTGGATCCTGCAATGGGAAATCCTGGGCGATGAGATGAGGGTCATTGTGGGAATGATACTACAGGATCATGGGGAATCTTGTGTAGGGGGGAATACTGTAGGGCCAGGGGTAATGTTGGGTGGGAACATGTGGGGAATCTTTGATGGCATACTTGGATCATGGAGGGATAACTGGAGAATCCTGTGTGAGAATACTTCGGAAATCTTGTCTGCGGATAATATGGGGGATTTTTGGTGGGGAATCCTAGGTAGGGAATCCTTGTCGGGAATCTTGGGCGGGGGTACTAGGGAATCCTGCGGTATCATGGATAATATTATGTGGTTAATCCAGGGAAATATCTTGGGAATCCTAGGTCGGGTGTCCTGGGAGAATACTCGGTGGGGATACTGCTGGAATCCTGCGTTGGGATCGTGGGGAATTCTGTTGGAAATCCTTGGAGGGGGATTCTGCTGAATCTGGGTAGGAAATCTGTGGGGAATCCTAGGATGGTCATGTCGAATACATTTTCTAAGTTCGGCATTTGGTGTTTGAGTTGCGTGGAGGAACTTTTATACTTCGTGCGTAAATCCTGCAGATGATGATGATGGTGATTTTGGTTGTTTGTTTGTTGGCAAGGCTTACTTCTTTGGTGTCTATCGAAGAAATTTTCTAAGTCCAGTGCGCTCGTCGTATTTTTTCCCCTTTGCTTTTTTATTGGCTAATGGAAGAATTTTTTCTCAGTGCACTTAAGCTTTTTTTAACCCTTGCCATTTTTCTGCTGTACAAACGTGGGCTTTTTTGTCCCTCTCTCTCTCTCTGTCATTGCCGCGTTTTTTCATATATTATATTTATTATTATTATTATTATATTTTGAACGGCTTTAGGGAGGAAGTCTAAGCAAGCCAGGAAATTGTTCTAACTCCAGACTGAGAGAGCTTTTTAACAATTTAATTTTAAATTGATATGCAATTTCTTTACATATTGAAGCTTACAGCCGTTTTCTCTTCATCAGGATGAACTGACCGGTGCAACTTAACTAACGCTGTTGAAGTCACCTTAAGCCTAACTCGCAAACCTTGGTGGTGGTGGTCTATGGAAGAACACTGCGACTCACCCAGCACAAAACACCACACCTAACCTGCAGCTGTCAAGTCCTGCGCACAGTCCTGGCATTGAACCAGGCAGTCTTCGAAACATCAACTTACAGCTCCTATGATGAGAACGCTCGACGCTAACCCCCGGCAGCTGTTTGTCCTTGTACATATATATCTATCAATCACTCTGTGTATATACACCCACATACTATATATACATATATATATGTATATATTCTATATATTACTACTATACGTATACCATATACCCTACGAATTTACATTATTTTTAAAAAATTTGTTTTATCCGATGTAAAAATTACTAATTTATTTAAAGAAATATTTTTATTTGATTCCAAGTTGTAGTTTCTTCCTAATTTAACATTATCGTAAAATGAATTATAAAGCGAGTATTTTTATTAGTCTTACGACATTTTCGATTATCAAACCGTCCTTCTGCCCGGTATGGGTCGGATAATCGCAAATGAACTTCATTTTCGAACTACAAGTCAACATCACAATTTGCGTTTCGAACTTACTTCATTTGTTTCACCATTATAAATACATTCAGGACGTGAGTGACTTCCTGGTGGACACACTTCCTATTCTATCAGCTTGAGCAAAAATACTAGACAAGCAGAGTCATTTCATGACGTCATCCAGTGATATTAAGTAATAGGCAAACAGGGGTGCCAATGCATTTGCCATACGAAAGAAATAAACAGTGTACACACGAACAGGTAGAGTATCAGATTGCCAGATGCCACGATGCTTGTCGGAAGAGACAGATGATCCAAAAGGAAGAAGAATAAAAACAAGTGACTGACATTAAAGTAACTTTACTTTATTTTCTCGTATGAAACGCGTAGATGCACGTCAATGACGACGTGTGGAACAAACTGTAGCCCTGAACAACGATGAAGGAACTTTGACATTTCCTATGAATCTTCAGTTTAATTCAATTAATTATATTTTTACCAAATTGTAGTTAGCACTTCTTAATTCTGAAATTTTGCTTATTGGTGAATACAGGCAACATTTTTCCTTACCTTAGATTCACATGTGGACGTCTATAACAGATATATAGCTGTATCGTTTAACGACTCTCGGATATAACCGAAAGCTAAACGATGATTAAAGAACGTCTGCTTATTTAGAGTTCCCTTGAAGTAATTAAGTTAAAAACGCCTGAATTGTAAAACTGTGTCAAGAATTAATTCTGCCAATTGCTTAACAATCTATTTTTACGTTTCCAACATTACGACATTCTATGTTTGTGTCGTTCAAGTACGCAATTTGTCAATTCTTAACTCCACTCTTTCTGGCATTCTTCTATCGAGATATTTTGTAACATTTATTTTCATAATATTGATTTCAATCGTTTAATTTTCCAAGCCTTAGGACAAAAATTGGTGAATTAATTTATCAAAAGAAGTTTAACTTCCCTCAATTAGGCCCACGAGCTTGGCTGTATGACATGTGTATATTACACGAAATTATCCTTCAATGATATAAACAAACACCATCTTTCAGGAAGAAAACTACGTAACTGTTACCACCGATCCACAGAACACACATAGGAAACAAAAAAGAAATAAGACAGGACAAGTTCAAGTTTCCTCACAAAGTGAAAACACCACAATCAAATTAATGTAGTCCAGTTTTTCTGCTACTTTGATATCCATCACCTTTAGCTAAGCCAGTCATCATCGTCGTCATCGTCATCAAACAGTGGTGGTGGGGGTGGCTGTGGTCTCCAACTCTGAAACATGACGAGAATTTTTTTTACCGTTTCCACTAGACCGGCCTCGATGAAACACGACTGAACTTTCTATTGTACGTAATTCATCTATATATTAACCCTCTGAAGCTGAAGCTCACCCAAATATTCAATTCCTACTACAAAGGAAAGATACATCACCATTAAAAGATCAATCTGTTAAAGGATTTTGGGGAAATAATAGTTCCTCACTGTAAAAACCACACAAAAACCAACAAATGCATTCTGTGGCAAGACGCAGAGTTACTTACTGTTAGAGTAGGTGGTGCATATAATTACCATTATTTTCTAAAGGGTTACCAAAGAGCCTGGATATTCTTGCAGTAACTGTGTTAAACCTGTACATGCAGGGCAATGGTCCAAGTACATATCAGAAACTCACACTTTCCAAAGAAGATTCTTGTGAGTGTCTGTCCTTCTCTTTACCATCTTCTGCTGGACCAGTGATGTCACCACCACCTATCATTGCTGCTGCTGCTGCTGCTTCAGCTGGAGTGGTTGCCTCTCCAGCACAATCTTGTTTCTGAGCATCTGAGTCAGCCTGTTTTTCCACCAAACTCCCTCTCTTCAGTTCTTCAGTATCATTTCCTTTTTTCTCCTGTCCGTCACTTATGGTTTCAGCCAAGCAAGATGCTGCTATCCCCAATTCTGGATTTTGTATGGGCTTGCTCACACTGTTAGATTCCTCTCGTGCTGAAAGTCTGTCTGCACTGCTGCTTTCTACCGTACTCACTCCGTTTCCTGTTTCGGAGGCAACGGTGACCGCCGCGGGCTCAACGCGGGCATCAACGACTTGTGGGGTAACTGCTGGGGCGTGTCTACCGTGTGCAGTATCAGTAGGATGCTCTGATGTTGATGACTTTATCTCAATATATTTCAGTGTTACATCCTGAAGGTAAAACCAAAGAAAAGTTTCTGAAATGTGCACCTTATCCGTGTAATTGTCTGACGCTTATTGTGCTCCAATAACAGATATTGATGAAATTATATCTACAATTAATTCCAAAAGATACTTCAAATCACACTGACTGTGACTTTACTGAAAAACATTTTAAAAAGTGTAACAGTACACATATCTTGGCTTCTACAAAACACAAAGTTTTCTAATGTTGTCTGCTGTGAATAATATTTTATTGGTCCATAGCATTTCAAGTACTTGGGAAGCATAATCACGACGGACGCCCTATGCACCAAGGAAGTAAAAGCAAGGATAGCCATGGCCAAGGCAGCTTTCGTCAAGAAGAGGATACTTCTCACTAGCAAGTTGGGCTTGGAGATGAAGAAGAAACTAGTGAAGTGTTACGTATGGAGCAGAGACTTGGACACTCAGGAAGAAGGAACAGAAATACCTGGAGAGTTTTGAAATGTGGTGTTGGAGAAGAATAGAGAAGATCAGGTGGACGGATCGAGTGACCAACGAAGAAGTATTGAGGAGAGTCAAAGAGCAAAGAATCATTCTGCAGGCGATTACACGAAGGAAAGCCAACTGGCTGGGACATATTATGAGAAGAAATGGATTACTGAGTGATATCACCGAAGGCCAGGTTGAAGGAAAGAGAGGACGAGGAAGAAGATTGATACAGCTAACCGACGACCTTAAACAAGGAAAGAAGATGACGTTCCAGGAATTAAAGCGAGAAGCCAAGAATAGGGACAACTGGAGAGCTCTTTTTGGGCAGAGCAATGGACCTGTCGTAAGACAGAACACTTAATAAAAAATAATAATACAAAATGTTACCACTGAAGATGGTCTCATGAGGTTGAAACACGTTTGACAAATTGAAGTGTAAACAGTGATAAAAGTGGGTGGCTAGCAACTTCACACCTGTTCCCTCCACGTTCAACATCTCGACAGTTCGTCTCCAGGTGAAGTTCGCGTATTCACATTTGATGATTTGTCACCTGACTGTCTAATGGATCCATGGAACGTAATAAAATATTATTATTCAGGCAACTGTTGCTTGTACTTCAGAAGTTCATAATACCCTCATATCAGAATACTGAAAACATGAATGTATGAATACGGCACGGAGGTGACCAACATCTTCGTAAAACTTGGTTATTATAAGAGGGCAGACAGCATGCATCATGATTGGCAGTTCTAAAAACAAATGAAACAAGATACACGTCAAGTAAACGAACTAATTTTGCGTATATGGCCTTAACTTACCCGCAAAGTAGCCATAAGTGTCTGTCTGATTTTTAAGCCATCATACGATGCCTCTGGCACAAACTGAGGTTGCAATGTGTGGTACACCAGGTTCATCACTTTCTTCACTTCCGCCATCACATTGGGGACAGCTGGACCAGACGAACCATGAGGCTGTGACCATAATGCAGATTATTTAAACGATTCTTACAAATTAGATTCCCACCTCCAAGAAAACAATTATATCAATGCCAGTTAACAAATTTTAAGAACACAATCACTATTTGTACCAGGGAAAAATCAATATCCAAACATATACCAAGTTACTGATGTTAAAACAAAAGGATATTGAAAGTCAAGCACAAAGGGAATTATATAGACCTACGAGAAGGAACAAAAGACTGAAGAAAATTGCATAATCAGAAGCTTCATAATTTCTAATACACTAAACAGTTAATTAACTAATCAGGGTAAGATCTTTCTCGAAAAGATAACAGACACTCACCTAGTCAAGAATTCCCTACTAAAGTAGAATACTATTCTACTACTACACAATACCAGAACCCAGAATAAAAGACCTGAAAATTCCTACATTTTTTTTATCTTCATTGTAATTACTTCCTAATACCTGAAGTCTAACTTACATCAAACCTTACTTCTAATATCAAATTTTGAAGTTCTGAGTGAGCAATTGCTCACCAGTAATCATCATGAATTACAAATGTGCCTTGCAAGCTCAACAAAGTTCTATCTGCATGCACAGTTTTCTTGACTTGCTATACTTTAGAAAAGCTTCCCTTGTTCAATTTTTGAACTATCCTACTGTCTTGTGGAGAAATTCCCCACGTTTTGTAAATCTTTTATCCCATAAACATAGAGAACTGAATGACCAATATAGGGCAGATTAAATCCATCATGTACATATATTTAAAATCCTCAATGCCATGATGAAGTAAGTATTTAACAAAACTTAAACGACTGCAAGGTTAAATAGTGCCACATAAACTGAGATAATTATGTTATGTAAACTTAAAAGGACAGAAAGGAAGCACTTCTGTCCCACAGCTGAAATGCATTACCAGTAATTTAATCTGCTCAGTTCCCGTTACAAATCATAAACCAAATATCCTTGTCAGAGGAACCGTCCTATGCAGGTACAGTCCAGGACACATTTCTTCATTACCTATTTCTTTAACACCCATTTCAAGATTATGCGTGTATTCTAAGGACATGCAGCTACCTGCAATCCTCTCACTCTGTCCCTCAGTGCTGTGTTCTCCTGCTCCAGGGTGTGCACCTCATTGCTCCAAGTCTGCTGTTGAGATTCCAGATCCTTCCTGAGTTCTGTGATCTCTGCCTGAAATGTTACATGTTGGCAACATAACTAAGAGCCATTTCATTTTGATTTTATACTTTATTCTTGATTTAACTGTACATGTATTTCGTATGTTAGATCTCAGTCTGGACGACCGGGGTTCAATCTCAGGCAGAGGATTACAATCCCTATCTGTTAGGCCCCATGGCTGACTAGCTGCTGAGACTAGATAGGAGGGAGAGAGGAAAACCCACATATCATCGCCTTGTTACGATAACAGTACCTGGTAAGACTTGGTAAGCTCGTTCATCTGAAGCTCATGGCCATGTACCTCTTCCTGTAACTGTTGCCTGGACTCTAGCAACTTCTTCTCAAGTTCGTCTTTGATAGCCTGCAGGTCTGCAACTGACTTGCTGTAAGACTGCATCAGCTGTTCCTGTTCTGTGAACACACAACCTGAATTCAGGAAATGTGGAGGTTTGCTAACATAACCTCACACTAATAACCATGCAACTAAGTGGCACAACTAACTAACTAGATGGCTTAGGGAACCCGAAAGTTCATCACTGAATTAACCAAAGCCCTCGAACAGTCCCTGTCCTGGGCCAACTAAATCAAGTCGCCTTCAACTCCTATCTCCCACAGATCGCGTCCTCCTATCTACGTCTAGGCCTCCCCAGATGTCTCTTCCCATCAGGCTTCCCAACCAATACCCAGTGCAGACCTCTTGCCCCATCCATACGTGCCACATGCCCCGCCCATCTCATTCTTCTTGACTTAATCACCCTGACAATATTGGAGGAAGAGTACAAATTTTTAAGCTCATCATTATGCAGTTTTCTCCATGTCCCATCCTCTTCTCTCCTAGGCCCAACACCCTATTCTCAAACACCTGCAATCTATGTTCCTCCCTGAGAGTGACAGACCAAGTTTGCACCCATACAAAACAACAGGCAAAATTATTTTTTTTGTATCTTTTAATCTTTAGGATCTTAGAAATCAGACAAGAAGACAAAATATTTTGAACTGCAAAGTAGCAAGCATTTACAGAATTTAGCCTCCTCCTAATTTCCTTGTGAATATCATTTTCACTTGTTGTTCACAAATATTTTAACTTTGTCTTATTTTCAGGGGATTTATTAGCCACCCTAACATGATTTTGCCCACCTGTCTGCTGACAGGATACTAACATGTCGACTAAGTGGCATAAAATACATAATTAAGAGTTATACTGGTGGTTCCAGTTCACGACAGTTTGCATATGTAATCCTATGTAATGACAACGATGGATCCAATTACAACACAGAAAATAGTATACATGATGCAGCTTTCAACATGATGGATGTGGCTGAACACGTGTCCAGTGCATATTATAACATAAACTTAAAGAATGCTGTCCTATGACTTTATAGCAATTAGTGGAAAAAAATATGACATGGAAATCATACATTAAATGTGTAGCAACAGCTGTCAGATGCACTGATTGCACCTGACAAAGGGTTTTATTCTTTTAAAAATGAAGTGCTATGGTTCTTAGCTGTCTGCATTCAAAATGACCGTTTCATCAACTAGACAAACCTCTTGCTACCATCCAGAAAATCATCAAAATTGCTAGCCAACATATCTAGTTCCTACAAATCTGACCATTACAGTTCTCCCAGAGTTCAAGCATTGTGTTTATATGGGAACTTGGTCTAATATCTAAGTCACTGAAAGCTGCAGTCTGTCTAGCTTTGGCAAACCAAGTCCACTCAACATGACATCACGTCCACAAAACATTGTGATTTTGCAGTCGGTCTGGTGCATGTGATAGAGCTTACCTTGCACAATCTGCTTGCTATTCTCAAGCTCCAACTGCTGCTGCTTCAGCTGTGACGACATGGCTGATACCTCCTCACTCAGCCCCTGTCCTGCTTCACCTGCACTAGCAACCTGGAGCTGCAACAATAATCAAGCATTGTACATTGCATTTTACTACTTACAGTGCAACTAGCAACAAAAAAAACTTCATTCTATCACATCGTTCAGATACTTCTCCCACAATGTGTAAATGTGGAACATTTTCTTAGTAAAACAGGACAAAATGGTAGGCATTGTTAGATTTTTCTCTTCTAATCTCTTCATGTATTTAACAACCACTTTTAAATTTTCAACACATATCCAACATGTTCTGTACAAATAATATATTTGTAAAGTTACTTGATCTCAGGTCGTAGTAAAGCATTTATTTCATCACTGAAATCACATTAACAGAAAACAATTCTTGCTGAATAGAGTACCCAACAGTGGCGGCTAATCCGTAAGAGCTGCGGCACTCCCTATAATTTTTTTAAAAATTGAAACATTTATTTTTTGTGTTTATATAATTTGTAACACTTTATTTCCTCTATATCATTATTTTAATATTGCCCTTTACGTTGTCATTATCCGCTAATCGGCCGAACTGACGGTAAATCCGCGGGCGAGGAGCGTGAAGCATAACGGGGCTATCGTCCGTCTGCGAGGATTTCAGCGCGGGTAGCCGGTCAAAAGTAGGGAGCGCGGCCGGCGGTGGAGTGAGGGGCAGTTCACTGGTACGGCGCGTATCAGAGCTGCAGTCCCCGCAGCCGGCTTATAGTAACCACGCTTGCCCGGTACCACGTGCTTTAGACTGGTTTCTGTATCACGACCTGTTTCGTGGTTATTGTTAATGAGTGTTCAATAATTCTGTGTGCTGACTATTTTTTGTTCTGATAATGACAATGAGCAAAGGAAGTGTATCATAGCTATGGCAAATTACTTATTCTAAATTGTCTTCGAGTGAAAAAAGTGATGTAAAAAATCATGGCCGCCCTCTTCCGGACTTACAAATATTTAAAACATCGTCAAGCACGTATGGGTTTTCTCCTGATGTAAATTTAGTTTTTAATTAATTTATATTGTTATGTGTTGAAAAACTATTCTGAGTTTCCCCCCTCACGCAGTACTACCACTGCTCAGACTCACGAGCTGCCACTGATCCCAATCTTCTTCCTTGCACATCATCTTGGTTTCTATACCTACTGACATGTTCACCTGACAAAATCCTTCATGTATAAGAATGTAATATGGGAAATATATACAGATTTACAATTTATTTCCAAAAGTAAGATGAAGAAAGTATGCAAACTATTCAAAAGAAAAACAGGTAATGAGAATTAGTCCAATCTCCCAGAGTAGCCCCTTCATGAAATTCAAATATAATGTACCTCAGCTCTTCAACCAACTGCAGACAGCAAACTGACCGCCACTTCAGGATCCAACACTCACTTTTACAACTCAAGATTAAATGTTTATATACCTCATAGTGTTCAAAAGCACCCATTTTTAAAATGTGTCACTCCTCCCATAAAATTGTGCATGTAGTTCTTGTTTCCACCATTCTTACTACATGTCCTGTTCAATTTAACCTTAGACACAACACACACAGTAAAACTGCTAATTTTCTTTGGAAAAGATACTTTCCGTTGGTCCTTGCATCTGGAGTGGATCAAGTACAGACTTTAGAGGCCAACTGGGAATGCTCAGAACACTTACTTCTAATGAGCTAGCACGAGAAACAGCTTCACTCAGGTTGGCACTAAGTTTCACCTTCT